GAAAGACGACGACGAAGGAGATAACAGCAGTAAAGAGGAAGAGAAAACGAGGAACGGCCGCGAGCACAGACGAAGAGAGGAGGGAGGCAAAACGCTGAGAGCATGACGAGCATGGTGCGTGTTACTTGCGTTATACTCACCGTCCGCAATGCGCGCAGATAGATACGGCGGGTTCGCGTTCACTGCGCCCCGCAAAGCACCTATATTCTCGCACGTACCGTTCCTGGCCCTTATAGCATCTAATAGATACTATAGTACGTCGCGTCAGTTCAGGAGCACTCATAAACGCGTGTGGTAAAACCACAAGATACGATACTGCATAACTGTAAGTGTGTATATGTAGCAATAAAACTACGGCGTTCCGGTATCTTAAGTACGCTGCGTTGTGTTTATTTTGTCTCATGTCTTTTGCCAGCCTGCTGCACGGCAAACATTCCCGCTTAGCCACCGGGAGCAGGAATCTGATCCCGAAAAGACAGTTGTGGCATTCAAAACGCAAATAATTCGTGTAGCGGCTACCCTAGGGCCACTACAATCTCATCACTTCAGTGGCATAGCCAGGATTTTTTAAAGCAGGGAAGGGGGCAGAAACTAGTGGAACTGCGCAAGAATAGTGGATGACAAATATTGTTAAAGGGGGGAGGGGGGGGGGGTTCCTTTTTTGCCTGCCCTCTGCGCACACCCCTACGCACCCCAGCTTCTCAGCCTGCAACTTTGTTTTAGCGCCATGCAAAAGGTGAAATTTTTTGTTTTGTTGTTCACTGCTCCCAAAGATATGTAACTGTTCAAGCCCGTCGCAGATCCAGGATTGCACCGGGGGGTGAAACGCAGCGGCGGGGTATGGGGGGTTCCCCAGAAAAATTTTGAAAATGTTAGATCGACGGGAGATGTATTTTTAGGCAGCTTTTGAGTACATGTACAGCCTTCACTTTTTTTTTGAATACGAGGCATTCTCATTTCAGTAGACACTTACTATTTTTATTTTTAATTTTTTACTTTCCATGGCCCCCTTTGGCCGCCGGCCTAACTACGCCAGCTGATTCACTATTCATTTAAATGATACTGGAATCATTAATAAAATACTTGTGAGTTTTGAATTAGCCTCTTTCAAACTTTCATTTATTTGGCTGGCTATTGATTGACAAAGAAACAAAACTGCGCAAATTACACCACAACTATTGCGTGATGACTATGGCGAGCCAGGTTGTTATACTTTGGACAGTGTCTCGTTTAAAAAAATAAATCATTGAGAAATTGGCCGCGCTGCCGTGCTTGTGTTGCTGTCTATCATGACCAAATATTACAGTGATGCACACTCTTGGCAGTCGTGCGAGAGAAAAATGGAACGTATGCAGACGAAAGAGGAAACACGGTGCCCGCGAGCAAGGTACCGTATGCTTTGGCATCATATTCATTATATTATCCCGTATATAAATATAATGGATTCATCAACATCAGAGAGGTGGCCGTATAAGTACCTATGGACAGAAGGTGGTATACCTTCTCTCACCTACCAGGCGAAAGGTTGTATACCTGTAGTCCTCACTGGTAAATACCCCACTAAGACAATGAGCCCTCTGCTCAGATTCAATACTCTGCCCTCCTAC